TTAGAAATGGGGGAGCGATGTTGGAAAAATCAAAAACCGACATTTGCTTGTATTTTTACCTTAATTTTTGCTGTGACCATGTTCGTATCGTTACAATTTTAATAGCTTGTTACTGTTATAAATATATAATTTTTTGAGATTTTTTTGTGGAGGTGTATCACATGCAAAATAATTATAAATCGATATTTCCTAAGTTTTCGTTCGCAGAGGAGTAATATATTCGGGTAATTGGTATTTTTACTTCATCGAATTATCATTATATGCATGCTCAAAATAGTTTTACTTAAAACTTAAAACCTTAGGAATGTCGAAAAAGACATCAATGAATGACATTAATGAATACTTAATCTTTTATGAGTCATATTCTGAGAAATTCTAATGAGAAATTCTAATAAAACAATAGCTGCAATTCTCTTAATTCATACATGTAAAACTATTTTGAGCACGTATATAATGATCATTCGATGAAATAAAAATATCAATTACCCGAATATATTACTCCTCTGCGAACGAAAACTTAGGAAATATCGATTTATAATTGCTAATATAATTTACAAGTGCTCAAGGGCACTCTTGACCATCTTATCCGGCTATACCCTTTTATTCACGAATCAAATATTTAGATCACCCTCCCCTCTCTCCTTCGGCTGTCCGCGTCCCTTTATCCGCGAGCAGGTATCTCGAAAATTCATTTCGACGCACCGATATATGGACCGTTTATTTTGAAAGTGGTGTAAGTCCGTGAACACGGACTTCCCATGCTTAAAATACTTGCCTATAGGGGCCTCTACTTACCCTATGATTTTTGCCAAAGTTATCGTTTACACCCTGTAGATCCAAGCGGTCGATCGCGAATAGAAACGTTCGAACGGAGAAAGGACGAAGGATGCCCGGTGCCGTGAAGGGTTTAATCGGGCCCGCAATTTCGAAATAGCCGAGAACGGAAGAGGAAGAGAATTTTGAGGGGTGGAACGGACTGGGAATACCCGCGATTGGCGTTATCGAATAACGCTCGAGAGCCGAGATGCCGCGTCAGAACTCGCGGAAGGAGAATGGCCCGCGAGGGTCGATCCAAGCACCCTTGACTGTTGCAATTACTGCCTATGAACGGCCGGATGAGATTCGATCGGCCCGCTTAATTAACAGGTGCAACACGCCCTGCGCTTGCCACGTTCCGGTACGTACCTGGCAGCGGTTTCGATCCGAGAATTTCGGGTGCAAGGGGGTGGGCGGACGTTTGCGTGGCCGAAAATATCGATTGGCCCGGAACAAATTCGCTCGACTCGGAACGCTCTCGGTGATACCTGCCTTCGAGCCACCGTTTTTAAACTTTATTCCGCCAACGGAATCATCCCCTTTGCTGTTCGTTATTCCCCAACTACATAAACAGTATTTTTACCGTTAAGAAAATATATAACATTTACTTTGGACGTTAGAATTTTATTAGGTCGAGTCATAAGTAACTTCCGTTTTTTTATTAGACATTTATTTTGCTCTCATTAAATAACAAAATCATATTAATTTATTATGTATTCACCCACTATTATCTATCGCCTTCTCCCATCTTCCTGGCAGTTTATCAATTCCTTCCCTGTAAAATGTGGTTGGTTTGGACTGGAAGAAGTTTTCGACAGACTGCCTGACTTGCTCTTCAGAATTGAAGGTATTTCCATGATAAAATCGTTTTGCCATGGATGTTTGCTTTCGGATCTGGTAGAGGTGGTTGATTCTTATCAAGCCACTGTCTTTTGCGGACTATATTGTCATAGGAAACCCATTTTTCATCGCCTGTTACAATCCTGTTTAAAAAAGGCTCAATTTTTACCCGTGAGAGCAGACTTGTGGCGATTGACATGCGATCTTCTTTATTCCGTTCATTGAGATTGCGTGGTACCCATACTCCTAACTTGCTGACTTTCCCTAATTTCTCCAGGTGGCGGTTAACAGTTGATTATGATGTATTCAACCTTCCTGATATACTTCTTGTTGATTGACGTGGATTTTGCTCCAATATTGCCTTTAAACGGTTGTCGTCAAAGTCGGATGGACGTGTCCCGCCCTCGGTTCGTCTTTTAAGGTCGTATCTCCAGAACGGAATCTTTATAAACCAATTTCTAACTGCCCGAACAGTTATTAGTCCTTAACCATATACACTGCATATTTTTTCAGCTGTCGCCTTAGCACTATTGCCTTGTTTAAATTCCCAAAGCGTTACACGACGAATATGTACTTTTTGACTCTCCATTTCAGAGGTTAAAAAAAAAAAACAGTTTAACGTAACGTGTATCACACAAAACAGTTGACAAAGGACTAACTGAAGCCTCGTCTATATAGTGAAAACAAAAACTCGTTGTCATGTTAATTCACAGCGGGTAGATACGAACAATAGATTCTACTTAGCTGCATCGGAAGTTACTTATGACTCGACCTAATATAATTTACACTCGTGTCTGCGTATCGTTGAGACACGTTGATAATAATTATTTATGCGAGAAAATAAAAAGGGAGCACAGTTACATGGAAGTTTATACAGGGGGATAGTTCTGGGTTCCCATGGTTGAAAAGTTCGTTTGAAAATGGTAGCCATCGGGGTTGCGTAGACTGGGATTCCTCGGCGCGTAACTCGAAGCCGACGATTAACGATTCGAAGGGGGATGAGAGGCCTGCCAAAGAGGCGAGCTAGTTCGCGAAGAATCTCGCGGAGGTACGTCAGCCATCTCTGGGATTTCCGTTCGGGAATTCGGGCGAGGAAAGCTGCGGAAATTAGCGAGAGCAGGGTCGCGGTCGAGGCTAATCTAAAAGGAGTAACTTAATTACTCCGTGGCACGAACCGGACTGGCAGCCAGCTTCCGTCTGTTCGTTTGCCTCGTCGTCTAGTCGCGAACATCGGGGGAACAGCGACGGGACGACGGACTGGACGGGGGCTGCCAGACGGTCGAACGAACGGACAGATTGAGAGACAAGTAGCACCCCCCACCTTCGTGTACTTCCGGCACGAATTAAAATCAGTCACACCCGATCGTCGAATTAATCGCGTCTGTTTCCAAATGCCCGATGAAAACGGGGAGTTCGCAAGTTTGCGATCTCTCGGTTTCTCTGCTCGTCCATTGGCGGAGACGAGAACGATGATAGAAAAGGTTTGGAAAAATAAAACAGTCGAATCCAAAGGGTTAGGTGAGCGTATTGTTCGAAGAAGACCCGAACTGTATTACAAACTCGGTAAGAAAATATCGAACGATAGGACGAAGCTAAAATAAATATATAAAGGTGTAATTAACTTTGAGAAAGAAACTTGCGAAAGCGTAGACGTACCAATACGTGGAAATATTCGTTCGAACAGAGTTGTAGGACACCATTGTATTCCGGGGATATGAAAATCCTGCCGGAAGCGATATTTCGTTTCGTAATAGTAAATATGTTGCCGAGGGGTTCCAGGAACGAAAGGGTTGAGCGAAGGAGTAGGGTTTCAGCCGGCGACTGAATGCTCCGCTGGAATCAAGGGTAAAATGCGCGTCTTGAGATACGTCGGCCTTGACGGCGTTCCTCGAGCACCTTTTGTCGCCGTTCTAATTCAATATTTCCGGCACCGGGTGCCCGCATTCTCAGACTTTCCGAGTGGTGTGCTTCGCCGGCGCGAACGAGCTTCTCTCGCGCCCCGCGGACCCAACGAAACGCTCGCAATTTCGACGTGGGTTCGCGCGGCGGGAACCCGGCTCGAGGAAAAGTATGGTCGACGGGGGAAATACAGCGTAGCCGTAAATCAAGCGAGCCGGGAACAAGGAGCTCGCGCGAACGAACCGAGCGAAACGTTGGAAAGACAACTTGGCCAGAAGGATAATCGACCGAACGAGGGCGCTTTTTCTTGTCCTCTTCGCGACAACCAGCGTCGATAAACGTTCGATATCGGGAACGGTAGCTTCAAGACTCGCGTCCGCTCGTGAATTTTCATTTATATCGATAGAGAAAACTAAAATTATGATCAAATTGCGAAAGGGAACGGAAAATATAAGTGAATTGAATCAGAGATGGAACATAACGGTGGTGCCGCGTTATAGATCACTTGGAGGGTTTATACATAAAGATGAAGGAAGGAGAGTCTGATTACTTGGACGGAACTTATCGAGCAACGACTTGGAGATAATATTATTCACCGGGAATTCCCGAAAAGTGAATTCGACGTTGAACTGGAATCCTGGGGACGACTTCGGTGGAGCAAAAAATCTCCACAGAAACGATACGCAGAGCGAAGGTAGTACGACTGTACGATAGGATGATTCTTCGTGGTATAGTGATCGAAAATGGTGAATAAGAATTTTCGACAGGAGCAGTGGTTTCCTGAGAATATCGAATTTGAAAGTTCTAAAGACGCGTCCGACCAATATTCGATATTTCTACTTGCGATGGAGTTTGCAGGCATTTTCAGTGGTATGGTATCATCTAATTTTCGTCGACTGTATTTCTTTGGTGTCGAACAGAGCCAAGTAGATCAGATGAGACCGTAAACGTTTACAATCTTACCGTCAATGTTGATAAACGTCGAATCAAGTAGAAATATCGAGCGATTGTCAGACGCCTCCCAACGAATATCCAATCTCGATTTTCTTGGAAACAAACTGTCCTACGAATATATTTTATTCCACATTTTCCATCCGTTTTTCCATGAAAAGTAACCCCGAGCAAGATCGTTCCCCTAATTGTTTAATAAATTTCCTTTGTTTTGAGATCAATTTCATTAGCTCCTCTTATCCGAAACATACTTAATAGGATTGGAGGCCGTAGTTATCAATCGACCCTCGTATCGAGGGTAACGAAAGGGAGGTGGTCGTAAAAGGCTCCGAATTACCCTATCTCACCCTATAATCCGATCGTGACAATTTCGGTCGCGGGCTCGGCCCCCCCCCCCCTCGAAGTTGCTGCGATCGAAAGGGGGCAAATTTGTAGCTTCTTAGGAAAGAAGTTGTTGCTTCTGTGCTCACGCGAGCCGTTTGATGTGATTACAGACGGAGCTCTCGCAAAATTTGCAACAGCTATCGGAGAGGGCACGCTCGACGACGGAATTCATTCAGAGGCTCAAAGGAATGACGGACAAAGTGCACGTGAGTATTCGCCTTTGGCGTCCTTTTTAAATTTCCGCGTCGTGGCACGGACGGGGAGTGGAGGGGGGTGGGGAGCCAAGGCTCGCCTCCGTGAAATTACGGAAGGACGCGGCGTTAATTGCATCAGTTGTCGCCGTCCCTTCCGTTTCCAGCTTCCATCTTCGGGGGGCCAGGCTGTCCTCTCGCACGCGAAATTACAAAGGATACGACATCGAGAGCGGCCGAGGGAACGAATTATATTCGACCAGTTAATAATACCGTCGGATCTCGCGTTTCACTCTTTCCCTCGAACGAGAACCGGTCTATTCGATGAATTCCCTTCCGACCTACGCGACCGCTGTGCTTAGTTTCCGGAAATAATTAGAGGAGACGGTAGAAACGCCTGATATCCATTTTCCTTTTCTACCCAGAGAGTTACGGGCCAGAGAACAATACTAAAATCTACCTTGCATGGTTTATAGATCTTTAAAAATTGCAGATATTTAATTTGTAATGTAATTCGAATCATCCCCCACTTTCGACGAGGATTCGAGCTCCGTGTATTCTTCCGATAGAGTTCCCTTCTTTCGTCGTTAATTTGTCGCGATCCGCCGCGAAAATGAAAAACGAACAAGAGTTACGGAGCAGAGGGGTTGGTCGGCGCGCAAATGAAATTTGAATCTCATTTCGGCGAAAGGACCGTGGCCAAATGGATTCCCAAGACTTTTCCCTTCGTTTCCCGGGAAAACGCGAACAATTGAATCTCCCCACTTCCGGATGCGTTTTACAAGAGTTGATTTATAAGTTCGTCTACCCTCGGCGTTTTGTATTTGCATATTGTTTCGCGGAGCGTCGCTAAAATCTCGCGAGACAACTGCCGGGGAAACAGGTAACGGCGGTCGTGTTTCCCTCGAAAGTTGCTCGACAATGTTGGAAGCTTGTCGGTAAGAAGGGGACGCCAAGTCTCGTGGCGGCCATCTTTGATTTTGGGCTCAGACTGCTCGAATAATTTATACGAAGAGTCTTTGTACGAAGTTGCTCGTAAATGTTATTTTCGAAGGAATTATCGATTTCTCTGTTAATTAAAATTAAGCGTTTCGTATTACGTATAATATTTAAATAGCTGGATGTTCGATTTGAATTTTAATCGTGGTGTATCCGCACGGTTGAATTGTTTGGATATTCGAGATGGTAATGATCGGGTAAAAAGTACCCAGTACGTGGCTCGCGTGACGCAAAAGTGCAGCGGAGGCAAACTGCGAATTTTAGGAGGGCAATTTTCCTCGACTGCTGTCACAGTGCAAACCTGTTCGCGCGAAGTGGCGATCGAGCGGTTAAAAGAAACGCATTGAAGTTAATGCAAGCGGTTACATTAGTAGTAAAATGGTCGCACGAAGTCACGCGACGTCCCTTGAAATCGCACGCCCGTTCAAACTGGGGTTTTTTTTTTACCTCGAGGGTTCTCCTCGCTCCGAAACAGACACGTCAAACCCTCTGTCTGATTTTGCGGTTCGTTGGGTATTATTAAAAATTTTATTTCTAATCAAATTCAACTTGCTCTGTGGTCGATGAAAATAAATGATCGCTCGAAAGCATCTTCGATACTCCGACGACTGAATTATTTTTACCATCGTTGAAGAGTAATAGAAATGATGGTGTTCCGTCGACAGGAGGAGTGCGTGGCTTTGGAGGAGGAGGTGGAGGATAGGGTGGCGAATCTGGTGAGCGTGCTTCAAGCGAGGAAATCGCGTCTGATCGAGGCAGCCCGACAAACCAGAGAGGCGAGGGTGCGCTCTTTGAGGGACCAAGTGACCAGATGCGCGTCTCACTTGCAAGCGACCACCGCTCTTCTCACGTTCTGCATCGAGGCGCTCAAGGAAAACGACAGCGGCGCGTTTCTTCAGATCGGCGGAATGCTGTCGGTTAGGGCAGCGACCGCTGCCGGGTCCTGGGGGGCCGCCGAGGGCGTCCAAGAAATCGCCAGATTACCCCTGCTCGATCTCACGCTCGACGACAAACCTCTGCGACGAGCTATCGATCAACTCACCTTCGTCCAGCTGAAACGTGAGTCTCCGAGTCAAACAAACCTTTTCTCTATTCTCCTCTATCGATATTTCATTGCGTCGACGAACCAGAGTTTGGAAATTCCTATTGTTAATTGTGTTCGAGATGGATGCAGCGAAATTGCCGGAAATTGTTTCCTATAGAATATAAGAAACCGGAAATCGTCCTACGCGGACGGCAAGTTGGCGACCATCGCGTTAGGTAGTTTCGTTCGGTCAGATTTCTAGCTAACCGGCTTATAACTCGGACAATAGGCCAATTAATTCATCGCTCGGATAAAATACAGAGCTTATTCCGTGTTTAATTCGATCGCAATGAACGTTTGATTAAATGGTCCTGCCGGAAGACGGTTCGAAAAGGATTTTCATTAACGTCTGTGAACCTTTAACGTCGACGAATAAAAATTGTAATCTAAATAGTACAATCAAATTATTTTTTACGTTCGATAAATCTTGGCGTGGGAATTTCGCTGTAGTAAAGAAATACGACTCTTTGGTTCGTCGAGGACGCTAGAAAGTCGATCGGAAGATCTCGTTAACACGTTGAGTGCCCGTTGGTTACGAATGGTACTTGGAACTGACAATTATTCCTTAAAACGCTTACCATAAATAAACCCTAGTGCTTGTAAACTTCTGAGTATGATTAATGCCGTTAGGAATACCGTAGAACCTCCATTATTCGTATTAATAGGAAGACAGTTATGAAGTACGAACGGTTTCAGATAGCAAAACACACACATTTATAGAAATTGAATATTATATATATTTCAGGTAATAGAACAGAAATGAGATATTAATATTAAACTTAGTATTCAAATTTTTATTCCATGCCCCTGCATAATATACTCTGCACAAATATATTAAAGAAGCATGTATACCGTGATAATTTTACAAAATGGAACAGCGTGAGAAACTCCATGGGCACTGATCGTGTTAACAAAGATTCACTGTAATCGTCGATCGAATATAAACGATTGCTCACCCTATGTTGGACGCAGCATCCGAGGGAGAAGATCGATTTCCAGCCGCAGGTAATTAATGTCGTCGATAGACGAAAATAACCATCGAGGTGGTTGACCTTTACCCGAAAGCCACAGTGTCTGAAACGAATTTTCCGCGAAGCATTTTTTAATAATTTCCCCGGCGGTGGATTCATTAAACGCGCTCCCTCTCGTTCGTTAAGTCGCTCGAAAGCTGGATTAATTGGGCAACGACTTTGCCGGCTTAACTATCGTAACTATCGCGGGGTACTAAGTCGTCTATAAGGATGCTGCTGCAGTCTTATACCGCAGACGAGGTGTACGAGTAGGTCTTACTTACACCTTATGGCATAATAGCGAGCGTATTCCGTTGAAATTTATTCACGGATACTTACCAAAAAGTATTAAAAATATAAATCGATAGGAAGTAGGTGCTGAAATTTCGCGGCGAAATTAAAAAGTTTCAAATCGTTCTAAAAAAATTATTCCTGGCTGCAGGGGCCAATTGCAATCATTTTCGGTGAATAGACATACCCTCGAAATCCTACCCACTTTCGAGAAAAAAATTCCTTACCGAAAATGTAGTGTCTGACCATACATTGACATGTTTCCCTGAAAATTTTCGGCGAAATAAAATAAACAATTTCAAATCGTTCTGGAAAAATTATTGTCGGTTGCGGGGGTCAATTTCAATCATTTTTTATCATTAGACATACCCCCGAAATCTTACCCAGTTTCGAGAAAAAAATTCGAGAAGGTGTGAAATTTTTCGACAAAATTAAAAAATTTCAAATCGTCTTGGAAAAATTATTTTCGGTCACGGGGGTCAATTACGATCATTTTTTGTGAATATACATACCCCCGAAATCCTACGCACTTTTGAGAAAAAAATTCAATAGATGCCTACATTTTTCCGTGAAATTACAAAATTTCGAATCGTTCTAAAAAAAATACTTTTAGTTGCACGGGTCAATTACAATTATTTTCGGTGAATAGACATACCCCCCAAATCCTAACCATTTTCGAGAAAAAAATTCGTGTAGGTGCCTAAATTTTTCGGCAAAAAAAAAAAAATTCAAATCGATCTAGAAAAATTACGTTTAGTTGCAAGAATCAATTACAATAATTTATGGTCATTACACATACCCCCGAAATCCTATCCACTTTCGAGAAAAAAATTCATTATCGAAAGTATACTGTGTGGCAAGAAATGTCCCCACTTTCATGCGTATCTTTAAAACGTCATAACTTCTGAACGGATTGGACGATTTTAATGTTTAAAAAAGCAAACAACGCGTATTTTAGTGGAGAATATGTAGAAATTGTAAAAATATTCGAAAAGTTGTTCCTTGACCCCGTAAAGTGAGAAAAACCACATAAAAGTGGTCCAATTTTCAAACAGCCGTAACTCCTACAATAGTGAATATATTTCAATGAAATTTTTTTCTGAAGTAGAGCTCATGGGTGCCTACAAAAAAGTATTAGACAACTTTTCTGTAATGCGTCAAACAAATTTATTAAAAATGAAAAACAAATTTTAAAGAAAAATCGACAGGGGGTAGGTGCCTAAATCGGCGAAATTGAAAAGTTTCAAATCGTTCCGAAAAAATTATTTTTGGCTGCAGGGGTCGATTATAATCATTTTTGGTGAATAGACATACCCTCGAAATCCTAACCATTTTCGAGAAAAAAATTCAATAGGTGCCTACATTTTCTCCGTGAAATTAAAAAATTTCGAATCGTTCTAAAAAAATAACTCTTAGTTGCAAGGGTCAATTACAATAATTTTCGGTGAATAGACATACTCTCGAAATCCTAACCATTTTCGAGAAAAAAATTCAATAGGTGCCTACATTTTCTCCGTGAAATTAAAAAATTTCGAATCGTTCTAAAAAAATAACTCTTAGTTGCAATGGTCAATTACAATAATTTTCGGTGAATAGACATACCCTCGAAATCCTAACCATTTTCGAGAAAAAAATTCCTTATGTAAAATATAATTTGTGGCCAGAAATGTTGCCCGAAAATTGCATGCGAATCTTTGAGACAACATAACTTCTGAACGGATCGGAGGATTTTAATGTTTCAAAATGCAATCGACGCGTATTTTGGTGAAGAATATTTAGAAATTCTGAGAATGTTTGAACAGTTGTTCCTTAACACCGTAAAATGTATAGCCCCACACCAGCGTTTCATTCCACCGTGTCGATGAACCTTCTACACGGAGACGAGATCGGTTCAACGATTTCGTAATTGAAACACGTCTGGGAATAGTAAATGCAATTATTTAATCCTTAACAAGATTCACCGGTAACCTGATATTCTGCATTTTCAATAATTCAATTCCGATCGGCGACATTGTACCGTGGAATTTCAGTTATTTATTAAAGCGTTAGAAACACTATTACCCTCGAAAACGTTGGAAGAAGATAGGATATTAGGTCCTTTGTTTTGTCAAATACATTATTCCCGCGACTGTCAATGGCAGAGCTCCTTCGTCGAAGAGTTCTTAACAATTTTTCGTAGAACGCTCGAACGAGATCTGTTTGGAAAAGTTTGTCAGGGCGCAGGAGCTCCGAAACAGTCGCGTTTCAAATTAAAGAAATTGCAAACGCGATCGTAACGGTTTCGTTCCCTCGATAGGAGACGTCGAATTATCCGGAGGCGAAACTGGAAACGTGAAAAACATTTTTATGCTTTACGATGCCGTTACGCGTGTACGTGGCCGACGTTTCGAAACCGTAACCGATAAAATGAACTTTGTCGTGCGCTCTGGCAATCGCTGTAAACCCAGATGACAGAGATATCCGTTCGCCTGCCATAAAACACGAATAATCGCGGTAACGTCGTTGACGGCAAGTCGGCTACGACTAGCTGCGCGAACCCGTTTGATTTTATTGTTCTCGTAAAATCGCTAATAAATCCATCTGCCGGGGAACCGAAACTTTTTTGTCTGCTTTTCGTAATACACGCGTAATTCGGATCACAAACACTCGATATCATTTTTATTTTTTTTTTTTGTAAACAAAGTTGGATCCTCGATAATAGACCGAATCGATACAATTTCATTTAGGAATATATTCCAGCGGGGAACGCAGAAGGAAACGAAGGCTCGAAACGTAAATGTTGCAAACGTTGGTTCGGTTTACGTTCGGTGTTTCACCGTAACGTTGGGTATCGCCGTTTCCTGGGAAGCGTCGCTCCGATCCACGAGATCGCAAGGAATTCTTTCCCCCTTCCGTGCCGCGAACAAATTTCCAGACGGAATGTATTCCCGAATGGCGGAACCGTGTACGAAAGTTTATTTCCGCGAGACGGTCGCGGAAGTTTTATCGACGGAATGTGTTTCGTAGGCATATCTGTAAATAGTTTAAAAAGTTTTCCCTCCTTTCGATCGGGCCGGGATACTTTCCTCTTGTTTCGAGCGCGTCGAGCCGTTTGTTTTACAGGAGGATTTCCTTTACGTTCCAATTTTATCGTCACGTTTAAAACGTTTATAAAAAAAATTCAGTAACGTCGACGTCCGGTGGTTTCTGAGAAAAGATCTTGCGACACTTTGTTTGAACCACGCTATATACACTGGGTCATTCCGCATTACCCGATACCCTACTTATTCTATAGTTAGCAATCCTGTATAGAAACGTCACATCGGATACAATTTATCTGCAGCAGTGCTGCTCAACCTCTACAAAACTCAATACAAACGCAGGCAGTTTAATTTTCAGTGAAAATTTATATATCTTGAAATGTAGGTCGAATTAAAAAATTTGGAGAACCATGGTCCTCGGGAGATGCCCTGATTATCGACAGAAATGTGTACATTTTCATATCTAAAATCTAATTTGACTGTTTAGAAATAAACGGTAAAACTATCGTGCAAAGAGGAAAAATTACGTTGTGGCCTTGGTACATTTTTAGCGCATAAATGTTGAGGTTTTCAATAATTCCACTTAATAATTCGCACACATAACTCAATATATTTAGTTATCACACATAATACAGATATATAATAAGCATAAAAATACAAACTCAAATAAGCATACGCCTAAGCACGACTACATGGCGCAAAACCCCTTCAATAAAGATCCTTTATGGATAGGTTGAGAACCGTTGATTTGTAGCGTAAGCTACGCGCGTGTAACTTATTTCTCCATGGTTGCGTGTCCGTCTCGTCGATTCCGATTTCGTTTAACCGTCTAAAAGCGAACGTTTTTAGCTCCCGGGGCACCGTTACTGATACCTGAGGAATGCAGCGCGGAGAACAACAGCGTGACAGTCGCCTGGCAGCCTCCTTCCGGGCACGGGATCGTCGGCTGTGCCGGGCAAAGGGGTCCTGCCATCGAGGGTTATCTTTTGGAGCTGGACGACGGATGCGGCGGGGAGTTCAGGGTGAGCTAACAGCATTGTTTCCCCAGATTTTTCCGATATCCTCGGTACCCTAGGTGTTTTATTACCTGAGAAAACAATGGGAACACGCGGAGAGTACAGCTGGCAAGTATTCCGGAACGGTACAGATTTATTCCTTGTATCGGTCTTACGTAAAATGTAATCGAACGATCAATCTCGGAAGGGATACACGTTGAAATTGTTCAGCGTTGTTTAGAACAACAGCTGGCAAGTATTCCGGAACGGTGCAGATTTATTCCTTGTATCGGTCTTACGTAAAATGTAATCGAACGATCAGTCTCGGAAGGGGTACACGTTGAAATTGTTCAGCGTTGTTTAGAACAACAGCTGGCAAGTATTTCGGAACGGTGCAGATTTATTCCTTGTATCGGTCTTACGTAAAATGTAATCGAACGATCAGTCTCGGAAGGGGTACACGTTGAAATTGTTCAGCGTTGTTTAGAACAACAGCTGGCAAGTATTTCGGAACGGTGCAGATTTATTCCTTGTATCGGTCTTACGTAAAATGTAATCGAACGATCAGTCTCGGAAGGGGTACACGTTGAAATTGTTCAGCGTTGTTTAGAACAACAGCTGGCAAGTATTTCGGAACGGTACAGATTTATTCCTTGTATCGGTCTTACGTAAAATGTAATCGAACGATTAATCTCGGAAGGGGTACACGTTGAAATTGTTCAGCGTTGTTTAGAACAACAGCTGGCAAGTATTCCGGAACGGTGCAGATTTATTCCTTGTATCGGTCTTACGTAAAATGTAATCGAACGATTAATCTCGGAAGGGGTACACGTTGAAATTGTTCAGCGTTGTTTAGAACAACAGCTGGCAAGTATTCCGGAACGGTGCAGATTTATTCCTTGTATCGGTCTTACGTAAAATGTAATCGAACGATTAATCTCGGAAGGGGTACACGTTGAAATTGTTCAGCGTTGTTTAGAACAACAGCTGGCAAGTATTCCGGAACGGTGCAGATTTATTCCTTGTATCGGTCTTACGGAAAATGTAATCGAACGATCAATCTCGGAAGGGGTACACGTTGAAATTGTTCAGCGTTGTTTAGAACTCATCGGGAACGGGAAAGATAGGCTCGATGATGAATCACGAGGCTCAAAGAGATGCCAAAGTTGTACTACTTGGCAATCAACAGGTTGCTGTCAATCGTGCCCAAAGGCTTTCTGTGAAGTCTGGCGAACCGATGAACGCAACATGGCGCGAGTCAAAAGTATAGAGGACTGTTGCCTGGAATGTGCAATAACGGCGCAGCGATACTATGACCGCTACGACAACCAGATTGGAAAACCGTCACAACATCGATGGGACTAATAAACCTTTGCAGCTGCGAGACACACGGCTCTTCCGGGACGTCGGCGAGGAATGTGGTTCGAAGAGGAGGCATATCAGAACTACAGAAAATATCGAATTAATGAAATTAATGAGGATCGATTGAAATTGTCTACTTCATGGACATGATAGTTTCTGTTATCGTTTGTTCATCGATATCCAATTGTTGCAAGAGTAAATAAGAGGTGATCGAACGCAAGAAAAAATTGAACGTCGAACGGTGAACGAGAAAAGCTGAGGCAGAAGAGCGTTTCACGTCCTTGGCTAGGGATAAATCGTCCGTTCCTCTTGGCAAGCAGCTGTCCTCGCGGGAAAGTAGGCGCTGGGGTTAATTCAGGTCGAACAGAGTGTCGTGGAAACTAATTTTACCCAAGTACCGTCCCGCGGGACCATCTCGCGAGTCGGTCTCGAGAAGTTCGCCCGTCGACGCCGCGAACAAAAACCGCGCGACGGAAGTTCGTTAGCGGAGTTACGGAAATAAAAAGGACAGCGTCTCGATGGAAAAGCTAAAAGGAACGCGTCCATATTGTGCGGTTCAACTCTTGCCGTCTTTCCAGATTATCGACCCTCTGCTCTCTCTCCTCTTCTTTTCTTTTCGTCCGCCTCCCCTTAATTAAATAATAAGAATCCCGAGAATTTTATTTGTTCCGCGTAACGATAGAAATTGGAACATTCGCAACTTTACGCGATTGTTGTTATCGTCCAAGGGACAAAAGTAATCGTTTCAAGTTGTTGTTTAGAGGGACATTTTTTATTCATATTCGCCAGGAAACGATTATAAATTTTGCTTGAACGGAACATTTTTTTGGGTATGTTTAACCAGGAGGTGTACTGTGGCCGAGAAACGATCTGCACCGTGGACGGGCTGCACTTCAACTCTCTGTACAATGCCAGGGTGAGGGCATTCAACAGCGCGGGGGAGGGAGAGTATTCGGAGCTGATCGGTCTCCAGACTGCAGAGGGTGAGCCTCCAGTTTTCGCCTCTCTTTCTCGCCTTTTCCCCCGGGTCGGGAAGCTCAAATGGAAAATCGACGCGCGTCGGTATCGAGTGGAAGACGAACGACCGAAACTGACGGCTCGAGTTAATGCGTTTTTCGTACCGAAAATATCGACGGCCGCCGGAAACGAACGGTGTCGGGGTCGTCGGGTTGCTCGATTTGTCGGGTCGTGACGCGAGATCAGAATCTTATCCTCGATTCCGAGGTTCGCGGTTCCCCGGTCTAATTAGATTCAGAAAGTTTGGGAAACTGAAATCTCGGTATTAGTTCCGCGAGGCGAGCCCCACTCACCCACGCTTTCACCTGATTTTAACAAGTCCCGAATATCGACGCGATTCGTAATAGATATCGTTCGTTACAAAAATCGATTAGCAGGTAGAGAGATGCAATAAAGAAATGGAGGATTCAGGGGGATCGAGACGCGTCGAGGTAGGTACAGTCATCCCCCTGCGCGGTGTTCGCCGTCAAAGGGTTAAGATTACAGGTCTATAACGCGAGCATAGAGGGGGGGATTGGAAAGCCAGACGCGGTGGCAGTTTCCAATAGTCGGAATTGCGGATCGGATATCGCGTCGAGACTGCCCACTCGATTCCGTCGCTCGTCAATCGAGAACAATGGTCCTGTCGCGTATCGACTGACGATCGATTCGCGGGATTATTTATCGCCAACTACCGTTCTGGGTGACAGTGGCGTGGTTTTCCTGGGCGACCGGGGCGTCCGGTATACCACAGGAGGTATCAATTTCCGAGGACGCGATGAGCGCATCCTGCGAGGGCTACGAGCACAGGGTCGTACTCTCGAGCGTCGGATTTTCGCGAGGCGTTCACTATTGGGAATTGACCATCGACCGTTATCACAGCGACACTGATCCAGCCTTTGGCATCGCCAGGGCCGACGTGTCGCGGGATCAAATGCTCGGTGAGTAATGCAAGTCGACGTCCACTCCGTACCCTTCCATTCGGGAATTATTAAAGAGACCAGCGACCGGTAAAACGATTGGCGATGGTTCTCTTTTCGCTTCTCGATGCATTGTTGTAACGTGTACCACCTGGCACGTATATCGAGCGACTCCTGTTGATCCTGCAGGCAAGGACGACAAGGGTTGGAGCATGTACATAGACCGTCAGCGTTCCTGGTTCATGCACGGCGGCGGCCACGCGCAGAGGACCGAGGGCGGCGTGCAACAGGACTCGACGGTGGGCGTACTCCTCGACCTGGACACCACGCACACACTTCGTTTCTTCGTCAACGATCAACCGCAGGGCGGTATCGCGTTCCGCGACCTCTACGGTGTCTTTTACCCGGCCGTCAGCCTGAACAGAGGGGTGACCGTCACTCTGCACACGGCACTGGACGTTCCCCGTCATCTGTTGGCGTTGCACGACGAGTACATCAACGACATGATTCAGAGCTAGGGGTACCTAAACGTCCTGAAGAAGGGCTTGCTGCAGGAAGTCGGATCTCCCGGCTCCGTGGGCTTCGACAGGCCCAGGGAATTCGACGGCCAGCTCGAGAAGATCGTCGAGGAGAGCCTCGGCGAGACCAATTGACGAAACCTCCGCGTCCTCTCGGATTCCGCGAGTCCGTTAATTTATTGTTCTCCGCGTTTGTCCGTCGAGTAACGCTTTTTTAAAGAGAGATCTCGTTCGGGGGATACCGCGGAGCAAGGGAAGGCCATTTCCCTTTCGAGAACAGGTAAAACAGGGACGAACACAGTAAACGGTTCCAAGTGTAGAAAAATTAAGTATAACGTAAGGACGACACTAGGACGCTTTCGCGGGTATATCTTTACGAAGGTAGTAAACGAACGAGCTTTCCGATGGAACCTGTCCGGTTTTCCGATCTAGAAATCACTGCCAGTATAGCGAGATCTGTCGAATCCAAGACTGGAATTTGTTGGAACAGCGCCCGTAAATTCGAAGCGTTCTCCGTCTAACGATCGCGCGCGATCGCAACCTCTTATCCATATCGACACGTATAAGTGTAATTGCCTAGGTGTAAGTTAAGCTTTATCGGTATTTAATAAGACGCATTTTCGAAGGAAGGAGCCAAGCACGTACGCACGCAGACTCGTCAGCTTTAGTGTAAAAGAAAAAAAATAACAAATAACGGAATCGAGTAAACGTTTTCTAGTCCCCCGATTGGATCGTCCACCGCCACCATTCTCCGCCATTTTCTTATGCAGCCCATCTTCCGCGTTCCACGTATATTCGCGCCCGTTCCCTCCCCGCATTTTTTCAATCCTTTTTTCTACCTACGAACGTCGAACGCGACCAGAAATGGAAATCGAAGCTCGTTTAACCCTCTGCCGCATAATGCGACCGATCCGGGACTAACCCTCACGAAAACAACCCCTGTAAAGTTCGCCGAGGAAATTTTACAGGATTCGTGCGTGTTTTCGCGGGGCATACACGACACTCCCCCCGCGAATTCCGTTGATCGTATCGAGGGTGTGATTTTCGTACAGTAAAATAGGATGATGTTCGATGAAGTAAAATTTGCTCGTGCTTCGTTTTCCATTAACGCGATGGCCCGACTCTTCTCGACTCGTTTTCCGCCGCCCTCGTGCCACGAATAACGGGGCACAGTATAAATAACCAAGAATAGAGTTTCCTTTCCGCGAAGATAGATGAAAATTGATGCGATAGAGGGGTTTAAAATAGATGTTGCAGCGCACAACCTCGTGAAACAGCTCCTCCCAGCGACGAGGAGGACCAACGTCAGCGTTGTACATACCTGTACATAAATACTTGGATCGTACTGCCCGACGATGAATTTGCCAATTGTATTTACAACTATATCCGATCAATAAAACGCACCAAAAAGCAGGACCCGTCTAACGATAATCGCCGTCCAAGAAAATCCATCGAAACTCCGTCGTCCTTCCAGTAATTGTGTCCGGGTTCGTATCCTTTCTCTCGATTTCATTCTTCTTTCTAGACCTTTGGATTATTCTACTACGAGTGCCTCCCGCTTTTACCTTTCGTCGTTTTTCTCTTCTTTTTTTTTTTGTCTGCCCTTCTTTAGATCCCGACCACGGGGACGAGAAGTGGATCGTCGACGAAGAATATTGTTTCCACGAATAAAGATATCCGCCTGGCCAAACGGTAGACGTCGTTTTATCGAGGCAACGCTTTGCTACGGTTCGCTTACATTTGTTTTCTTTCAGGTCCTTCGATTCCACGCTCTTTGTTCCCGCAGCAAAGCGTTTCTTCCCTTCTACTCGCCGACGATACATTCTTTTTTCGAGTGCCTCTACCCCTTCTTCCTCGGCCTTTCTTCCCTTCCACCTGTGTTCCGGCTGCAGCTCGTTCGATCGTTTCGCGAAACTGGGGCACATTGTGTCGCGTACGGCGCCAAAAACAACTGGATATCCCGGGTAAGTAAAATCCAGATTCGCCTCGAAAGATAGACGATAATCGAGTTGCTTGTTTAATTCGCAGGAACGTTTCGTACGACTTGGCGACACGCAAACAATTTTTAAATTGCTACAACTTGATGTAAAACTGTTTTAAACGTTCGAATCTTTGATCGTTTAGTTCTCGAGTTAACGTTACGATGCCGTATCGCTTCGGTTAGGATATCTAGCAAACACAGGGAGCATTCCGTGCGACCATGAGGCAAAATGAGCAATGGCAAATAGAAATTTTCAAAGTCGAGCACAATAACGACGAGATTAATGGGACTCCCGTGGTAGGAAAATCGAATACAGCCGCGGGGGCTAAGGGTAGAAGCTACGTTCGTGATTCATCCATCGCTGAAACTCCCTCTTACGATCGTGAACATCGTAATTGGAGCAACTCCCTTTGCGTATCTCTCTGTTTCCCGGTCCCTCGGGTCGTTCTTACATCCAGTAATGGGATTGACAAGAAACATTCCACCCTACCGTCCCGATTTTTTACCAAACCTCTCGGATTCGCGCGTGGAAATTAATATCGGTGTCAATTAGTAGTTGGATCGGTGTCGTCGCCCGGGGGCAAGTTTGGTCGATAAAACCATGGCTGCGATTAACGAGCAGTCTTCCGAACGTTGCGAAACCAGGGAACTATCGAGTCGAATCGAATTTGAAACCCTCGGTTGTTCCAGTAGTGCTGAATAAGCTTCAGGGTGGGTCGAGAACTGCAAGGTTGGGCGCACATTGGGCACAGTGGAACGCAGAATGATGCAAAACAGCAAGATTCCTGAGTAAACCAGCATTGTTTGGCGTTGCAACGCTGTTTCTGCTTAGGATTGAAAACAATCTACAACAACTTTTTTTTTATCGAGAATAATATACGGTTACGAGGTAGCGAAACCTCTGGTTCACGTCGTTTACAAAATACTACGCTGCATCGAGTCGAACTTGTGCTCAATTTGCGCCCCAGCCAATGGCTGTAATTAGAGATCGAATATTGGCAACGGTCAAACAATTGCCAAAGTACTTGATAGGGAGTACAGGAACGTATCGAAATTTCGAGAACTTAATATCAACTTGCGGAATGCGAATGCATGAGAATTACGAAACGAAATCTAATCGATACGAATGGACGGATTTTATGCATTCGTTGGTTCTATTTAAACTTATTTAAACTGCGTACTTTTTAGGAACGTATAAATATTGTATTTACATCCCACATCGAGTATTCAAAATGGCAAAATCCCTTTATCGACCAAAATAATTGCGATAGATTATTCTATAATAATAATCGAAGAGAAACTCTGGCGTGCTATGCAAAGCATGTTACGCGGCGTTAGCCTGCGCTCAATATGCGTCTAGCCTAAGGGTAGACGCATATTGAGTTTAGGGTGACGTGGCGCGGCACAGCATTTTGTAGACAATTGAATCAGGGAAATCGGAGACCTCCTTACTTCGGGACGGTTAATTTTTCAACGAACGCGAGAAAATACTCTTCGAAACTGCATGCAATGGAGGCTTAAAGGATATAAAATAATATTTAAACAGAGATGCTTATTTAATTCTCTTCGAGATGTATTTCGAACGTCGAGGTATGTTTGTTTGAACAGAAATAGAAGAATTTCATTTTTCGATGGCTGAAGAGGGGCGATCGAATTTTTTTTTTTATCGAAAAATTTAGTCACCTACACGAATTTTTTTCTCGATAATGGTTAGGATTTCGGGGGTATGTCTATTCACCAAGAATGATTGCAATTGACTCCTGGAACTGTAAATAATTTTTTCGGAACGATTTGAAATTTTTTTTTTTATCGAAAAATTTAGTCACCTACACGAATTTTTTTCTCGATAATGGTTAGGATTTCGGGGGTATGTCTATTCACCAAGAATGATTGCAATTGACTCCTGGAACTGCAAATAATTTTTTCGGAACGATATGAAATTTTTTTTTTTATCGAAAAATTTAGTCACCTACACGAATTTTTTTCTCGATAATGGTTAGGATTTCGGGGGTATGTCTATTCACCAAGAATGATTACAATTGACTCCTGGAACTGGAAATAATTTTTTCGGAACGATTTGAAATTTTTTTTTTTATCGAAAAATTTAGTCACCTACACGAATTTTTTTCTCGATAATGGTTAGGATTTCGGGGGTATGTCTATTCACCAAGAATGATTGCAATTGACTCCTGGAACTGTAAATAATTTTTTCGGAACGATTTGAAATTTTTTTTTTTATCGAAAAATTTAGTCACCTACACGAATTTTTTTCTCGATAATGGTTAGGATTTCGGGGGTATGTCTATTCACCAAGAATGATTGCAATTGACTCCTGGAACTGTAAATAATTTTTTCGGAACGATTTGAAATTTTTTTTTTGCCGAAAAATTTAAGCATCTACACGAATTTTTTTCTCGATAATGGTTAGGATTTCGGGGGTATGTCTATTCACCAAGAATTATTGTAATTGACTCCTGGAACTTAAAATAATTTTTTCGGAACGATTTGAAATTTTTTTTTTCCTCGAAAAATTTACGCGCCTATACCCTGTCGATTTTTTTTAAAACTTCGTTTTTGATTTATGACAAATTTGCTGGACACTCCTGGTTTGGCCGAACACCCTGTATAATATGACGACTCCAGAATAAAATACGTTTCCGCCACAAAGTAGTGTTGAGTTTCTGGTTCGCCCGAGAACAGAAAAAGAAGAATTTCATTTTTCGATAGCTGAAGAGGGGCGATCGATGCGTTTATTTTATTTAAAAATTATTTCGCAGTTTTTTAAGGGTTACACGACCTTTCCTTCTTTACAGGTCGAAGGGTGATAAAAATTGCAATCGATTCGTAACACCGATACGCGTCCATCGATGTTTATTTAATTCTCTTCGAGGTGTATTTCGAACGTCGAGGTATGTTTGTTTGAACAGAAAAAGAACAATTTCATTTTTCGATAGCTGCACAGGGGCGATCGATGCGTTTATTTTATTTAAAAATTATTTCGCAGTTTTTTTTAGGGTTACACGACCTTTCCTTCTTTACAGGTCGAAGGGTGATAAAAATTGCAATCGAGTCGTAGCACCGATACGCGTCCCTCGATGCGCGTTCGTTTCCACCCCCGTCGTAACGCGAGAAAAACGGACCAAACTGGATGGAAAACGAAACGGAACGAAACATCGAACCGGCGGGGGGGATCTGACAATGACAAAGTTCTTTTTCATCGGTGGAAACGTGCGACAGCTGTCGCGGTATATTTTTATCCGGCGCTTCCGTTGGCCCGACGCAATTTGCGAAACGATTAATAAACGATCGAGCACGGTGATTAATGCGCCGACAAAAGTGAAAATATCGCGGCCGTACTTGGACGCGATTAAAATATCGACGTGACGTAAAAATAATATTCTCTGTACCTCGGATCTTTAAACTGTTCTTCCGATCGAATGAAATCGCGATTGTGGGAATATTTAATCAATGGAGAAAATTCTCAACTCGACAGTCGGTTTTTCTTCGGTTCGGACGACAGCTCTATCGGCGGCAAATTCAAGATTCTATCGTCGAGGCGTGAGAACGACATTAATCACGGTATTTTCTTGATCGGATCGCGGCCAGTGTCGTTTAGGCGAGAGAACAAACTACGAATTTAACGTACACGATGACTGGCAAGCGACAATCTTCACGATCTGGTCGGTTAAGCCGTAGAACAACATTATTCACGACTTTATCTCGATCGGATTTTTTTTGTTCGGGTGGCCCGAACGACCGAGAGATTTAACATGCAGATTACTGGCCGTGCGATCATTCTTTTCGATCGTGTCGTTTACGCGAAAGGGCGTCATTACTCGTGCCTTGTTCTTAACACGCTCGGCGCGGGTGCATCGAGGCGGGCAAAATCGTCAGCGTAACTTTTGTCCGGTGCGTACCAACGTGACACACTTTCGATCGAGTCAATAGCTCCGCGAGATATCCCGGGGTCTTCTCCTCGATACACGTATATCGATCGCCGAACGTGTTAATTGTGTCGTTTAAGTGGAAGAACAGCACACGGGGTTCGACGTGTAGATGATCGTCAAGTAATAGTTTCATCGATCGTTTCTCAATCGCGTCGTTCGTGCGACGAAACGACTCTACGCGTTGATTGCAATTTCGGAATTAATTGGTAGTTGTCACGCAGTTAGTTAGTCTTTCGAATTTCAATTTAATATTTGGTAGATATATTTTCGAGACTACATACGAATAAGAAAAATTCGATTTTGTAAATCCCACGAAGTAGAAAGGCCCGTTAATTGGTAGTTATTGGAAATGGCAGGGCTATGGAACGTGTGATTCGAATGAAACTACAATAATTACTAATCGAATGTACTTTTTACTAAATGATATGTAGAAGGTATATCTAAGAATTCAGTTCTGTTCTCCGAGAGATCTGTTTTT